GTTCAGGAGAACTTGAAGTGATATTCCTGGCCATGGTGCGCTCGCTCTCCCTATCGCAAAGTCGCACGCGACATAACGGATGATCAGATGCGATCGGGGAGAGCATTCACGAGCGCACCATCACATGCACTTTCTTTTTGGCGCAATGCGCATTTTTGGGCAAGTGTTGGCCGAACAGCTGGTGATTCAAGATCAAGGTCACCAGCTCCCATCAGTGGGACACTTGAGGGCAAGTGCACTTGCATTGGAGCACTGGAGTGTGATAGAGGCAATTTTAATTTTCGTGTCGTGACCTTTGTTCAATGTCAAACCAAGTTAGTGTTAATTAATCTAAGGAGGAGGCTGTGCAGGTGTAAAATAAGGCGTAGTGTAATTAGTGAATGAAAAATACATTTGAGTAAATTAAGGGGAGCAAAGTGTTTGAGTGCATCGGCTGGAGTTGTGAGGAGCTGAGAGACGCCACGTTCTCGCGCCAAAGTGCAGTGGAGACCAGAGAGTGGAAAATTTCCAGCGATCAGCGGCCCACGAGAAGGATTTTTTTAATCCTTCTCCCCTGATACGCTAATAAGGCGATTTCCATCTCTCCCACAGGTGTGTGATTGATAGCGGGGCGTTGTGGAGGAGATTTAATTGCTGTTTGCTCTGCCGCTAAACTATTAAGGAATTTCCTTCTTGTAATTCAAGGTAGGAGAACCTCGCGAAGCCCCAGAGAAGCGCTGAAGGGGCTAATATATGATCTTTCTTCATCTCTTCAAGGTTGGTGACCACATTTTTTAATCCTTCTCCCCTGATACGCTAATAAGGCGATTTCCATCTCTCCCACAGGTGTGTGATTGATAGCGGGGCGTTGTGGAGGAGATTTAATTGCTGTTTGCTCTGCCGCTAAACTATTAAGGAATTTCCTTCTTGTAATTCAAGGTAGGAGAACCTCGCGAAGCCCCAGAGAAGCGCTGAAGGGGCTAATATATGATCTTTCTTCATCTCTTCAAGGTTGGTGACCACATTTTTTGGTCCATCGAGCAACGAGGGCTCACCGGCTGCTGCTGTGGACGTCTTAATTCCCACATCACTCAGCCTTGGCCATCCCAACCACGCCTAGCAGCGAATTCTTCTCCCGTTTCCGGCTTCAATCACCACCAGAATGGCCACAGACGCAGACATCAGGAAGCTCAGGGCGGGCATCATGGCATCTGTGAAGAGCGCCAGAGCTTACATCACCTCCATCAAGGCTGCGGATCTCTCCTTCCTCTCCTGGGAGTACGTTGTCTCCCTGAGGACGCACGTGGAGCAGAAGCGAGCGGAGTTCTTGGGCGTCCAGGACCAGCTCATCGCGGAGGCGATGGCGACATCTGATGATGCGGTCAAGCGCGAGGAGTCCATCAGAGACGACGTCTTGGCTGAGGTGGACGGCTTGCTGAGTCACATCGAGAAGATGTTGTCTCGCATGACGCCGCCTTCATCTGCGTCCACGGAGCCTGCGGCTGCGAAGACGGCGCCGGCGGCTGCGAAGACGGCGCCTGATACCGAGATCTTCTGCACCTTGATGAGAGAGATGATGGCGCAGAACCAGCAGCAGATGATGCACTTGATCTCGACGCTCTCAAATCCAACCGCAAGTACCAATAATAGTTCTGCCCATCTGGCCAAGCCACCCATAAAACTGCCCCAGATTAGCTTGCCCACATTTGGTGGCAGATACGCGGATTGGATGTCGTTTAGAGATCGCTTCGAGTCATGTATCGTTAAGCATCCCTCCCTGTCTGACGTCGAGAGGCTCAATTATCTCCAGTCCGCCCTCTCTGGTGACGCAGCCTCCACAATTAAGCACCTGCCCACTATCGGTGCCAATTTCAGTGTGGCTTGGAGGCTGCTCCGAGAGCGCTATGAGCGGAAGAATGAAATCGTGGCCGAACATGTGCGCTCATTTTATCAAATGCCCTCAGTCTCCGACGATCCTCATGCCATTCGCTCCATTTGCAATCTCCTTTCCGAGTCCCTCCTGGCACTCGACGCTCTCCAGGTGACTGGACGCGACCCGTGGATCATCCAGTTCACCTTGGACAAGCTGGATACTGAATCTCGAGTGCTCTGGGGAAGGGAGTGTGGCTCGGAAGTGCCTACAATGGAACAGTTCCGCAAGTTCCTCAATCAGCGCTGCATAGACGCTGCCAATGCCTCTGATCCTCCGTCTACACTGTCCTCAGACTCACGGTCTCAATCTTCTAAGCCTCACAGTGACACGAAGAAGAAGGTACAGGCATTCCACAATGCCTCCACAGCATCAACCTGCCGATGCTGCAGTGAGGCCTCTCATCCGCTGTACCGCTGCCCGCGCTTTATCGCTCAGAATCCAACGGAGAGATTTGAGACCGTGAAGAAACTCAACTTATGTCGAAACTGCCTGGCCTCACATCACACTTCTGCCTGCACATTCCACAGCTGCAAGAAGTGCCAGGCCCGGCACAATGTCCTGCTGCACGAGAAGTTCGCGGACGAGGCTCCTGCCAACCTGCCGGCTCCTTCTCCTCATCCGCCGAACCCAAACTCTGCAGAGGATCCCTCCTCGTCGTCTGATGGGCCATCAAATCCAGCCCCGGAGAATTCGGCTGTGTCTCTCACCGCTTCCACCTGGCCGACAAATTGCCATCCTTCTGCCTATCCAAAGGTCTTTCTGGCAACGGCCATGGTGGACATTCTTACGGGAGACAACCAGCGAATTTCCTGCCGTGTGATGCTGGACGGAGGCGCGCAAGTGAGCATCATGACGACGAGTTTGTACAATCGCCTGAGGCTGCCCAAGAAGCCATCGAATATCTCCATCCTAGGGGTGGGCAGTCAGGTGAATCCGGTGAAGCACAAGGTCACTGCCACTGTCTTCTCCCAGAAGAGTGGCCAATCTTTCACCTTCGACTGCCACATCCTCCCGAAGATCTCGGGCAACATTCCCAACTGGCCTGTGGACACGAGGGCAATTCGAGTGCCTCCAGGTGTGGAGATGGCGGATCCTCAGTGGGACGTCCAGCGCCCAATCGACCTGCTGATTTGTGGCGACGCCTACTGGGGAAGTCTCCTGCCCGACAGGATCAGCTTGGGAGAAGGACTGCCTCAGCTCCAGCGGACCGCCTTTGGATACGTGATGGTCGGCGAGCATCTGCCGCCTCATTACGCGGTCCATGTCCATCACGTCCAGGCGGAGCCTGCTCTGGATGAGGCGCTGATCGAGCCCCCGGATGTGGACGGCATCTCGGAGGAGGCGTCGGCTGCTGACCGTCAGCTGAAGGCTGGCCTTTGGCGCTCCGCGGCCAGTATGGACGGGACATCGCCACGGATTCCGCGCCAACATGGAGTTGGTCGGAATGATGCGATTCCCGGGGAGTGCGGGGGATGGCGGAGGACATCACCTGACGTGGCGCCGGCTCATCGCGCTCGCCATCGTGGGGCCGCCGAGGAGTGGCGGTGCGGCATGCACGAGAGAGAGGCCGCGGATGGCGCGTCGCGCGGCGCTCTTCCGGCTCATCTTGAGGCCGACTTATGGCGATCGGAGGCCTTTAAACCGCCATGGAGCCTCCGAAATACGGTGCCGCCTCCATCGTGCCTTTCGGGTCGTTCCGCGGCGGAAGTGGGGACTCTGCTAGACTGGCAGAGTGGATCGGCCGCGGCGTGGAGCCACTGGGATGGAGCGGCGGGACTTCTCGTGGATTCCCCTCTCATGAGTGAGGGAGATCCTGCGGGCGACGCGTTTTGGAGGTCGCCCGTCTGCCAGACTCTGCGGGAGAACTTTCTGGACGGCTCCAATTCGAGGATCGGCCCGTCCAGCCCCGGGGAGGATGTTCAGGAGAACTTGAAGTGATATTCCTGGCCATGGTGCGCTCGCTCTCCCTATCGCAAAGTCGCACGCGACATAACGGATGATCAGATGCGATCGGGGAGAGCATTCACGAGCGCACCATCACATGCACTTTCTTTTTGGCGCAATGCGCATTTTTGGGCAAGTGTTGGCCGAACAGCTGGTGATTCAAGATCAAGGTCACCAGCTCCCATCAGTGGGACACTTGAGGGCAAGTGCACTTGCATTGGAGCACTGGAGTGTGATAGAGGCAATTTTAATTTTCGTGTCGTGACCTTTGTTCAATGTCAAACCAAGTTAGTGTTTAATTAAGTCCAAGGAGGAGGCTGTGCAGGTGTAGAAATAAAGCGTAGTGTAATTAGTAAATGAAAAATACATTTGAGTAAATTAAGGGGAGCAGAGTGTTTGAGTGTATCGGCTGGAGTTGTGAGGAGCTGTGAGACGCCTCGTTCTCGCGCCAAAGTGCAGTGGAGACCAGGGAGTGGAAAATTTCCAGCGATCAGCGGCCCACGAGAAGGATTTTTTTAATCCTTCTCCCCTGATACGCTAATAAGGCGATTTCCATCTCTCCCACAGGTGTGTGATTGATAGCAGGGCGTTGTGGAGGAGATTTAATTGCTGTTTGCTCTGCCGCTAAACTATTAAGGAATTTCCTTCTTGTTATTCAAGGTAGGAGAACCTCGCGAAGCCCCAGAGAAGCGCTGAAGGGGCTAATATATGATCTTTCTTCATCTCTTCAAGGTTGGTGACCACAC